TATTTTACCCTGTATAAGGTTTTATTACACGTCTTTCAAATAAACGAAAGAGAGGTTTTTATAAACATTCGAATTGCATCTAAGAATTTTCGAATGAGTAACGGCAACTTATAAGCTGCTATAAGCACTTTGTGATTTGCGTTGTTTTAGAATTGCGTGTCAAACGTGTCGATTGGGATACACAAAATCTAATCAAGGATTTGCATTAAAAAATATCGCTAACAGCATATCGAGTATTTGTTTACGTTTGCCAGAAACCATTGATATGAGATCGTAATCGCAAGCAATGGTAAAAATCGCACAACAATACAAAAGCTGCACTCCTCGCCTTTAAAAGGCGTTGAGTTGCCACACATTTTATATAAAAAATGATTTTAGTCGCTTCATGCGTTATTTCAGAGAGAACTGTTCATTCTACAAAAAAAGTACTAATAAACATTTTTGTTTAAAATGATATCAGCTACATTTTTTATCAAAAATATTTTTTTCTACGGCGTACAGATTCGTGGTAAATCGATGTTTTCCATTTCCCTACTAGGAGGGTTTTGGAAGAAGCCAGGATAGGCAGTCTTTTTTGCTCTTTTAGGCATTCTCAGTAAAATTTAGCTTGTTCGTATGGTTTTTGGAGGTTAAGTGGAATTTTCATCTCTAACGACGGGATTAGGTATATTTGGACTATTTTTTATAGCCTCATAGACTTAACCTTCCGTCGGAAGCGGCCGTTTAAATTCATACAACCCAAATATTTTGAATTGCTATAAGGTTGAATGTTCGAATAAATGAACTTTGATAAAATGAAAGGCAGATATCGAACACAGTTCTATTAATTAAATCTTGCCCAATTACTTTCGCTTCCTAGGGCATCTTCAGGGACATTTCGTCAATTTTGGCCTATCCAACAATCATAGAATGTTATAAACATAAAATTGTACATTACACTACACTACACAAGAACAAATAATTTACAATTTTTTAAAATGGGCGAAGCTACATTATGGTCGGCATCATTCTCTCTCCTGATCTTGTTCTGCTTTGTTTTTCCAATTGGCAATCTTAAGCGTTTTCAGATCTTGTTCCACTTGTTCCATGTATCTAAGATTGGGTCTTCCCTTTCACCTTCTCCCTACTGGTGTTTGCCTCATTATATGTTTTGGTGTTTTACTCTCCAACATCCGTTCAAAATGGCCCATCCAGCGCAGACGTCCGATCTTTGTGGATGTTATGACCCTCGGGTTTATTGTATGCCGTGTATAGTTCAAAATTATATCTTCTGCGCCATATGTCATTTTCTTTCACCCCCTTATATATGTGTATTTTTTTTCCCGACAAGGATTTTTCATTCAAACATACCTAATAGGTTCTCATCGCTTCTCGACAGTGTTCATGTCTTCGATTCATGTACAAGGACCAGTTTTATCAGGGTTTAATATATTCTGCATTTGGTTTTTCTTGTGATGTTGTTAGAGCTTAGATGTTTAATTTGTCCATTATATGTTTCATTAGCGATATGTATTCTTCGTTTAACTTCTGACATTGTTATCTGCGGTAACTAGTGAACCTAGATAAGTAAAATTTTTCACGCTTTCGATGTTATGGTCTCCTATTGTCATATTTTGTAGGTTTCTTTGGCCTGTCGATTTGCTGGCCTTTATGTATTTGGTTTTTATTTAATTACTATCTTACTAATAAAAAACTCGTATTTTAAGTTTATTCTGTATTTATACCTAGAATAGTTATTCTATGTATAAGGTATAAACTCGGTATAAGTTAGTTATAAGTATTCCCACTTTATTCTGAAAATTGTCGCAATATTTTGCACAAATACATAGAACAACGAAATATGGAATAAAATATGTCAATTTTGATTTTTCTTTGAAACTGACACTGACAACTGACACCATATATCTTTATTTGTTAACTTTTATGTTGAGTTTGAGTATTTTAAAATTGCAAAAAACCTTACACCGTCTTTAGAAAACCGATATTTTAATTTAAATTCTCTATCAGTGTATTTTGAAAAGGGATTTATTCTTTCTATAAAAGTTTTTCTTTTTCGTATATTTTTCATATTATGTTATATCATAACATAATATAATTAAATTATAATTAAATTATCAACTTTCTCGACAGCCGCAACACCTCTTAACACATTTTTTATTATATAGCTACTCACAAAATAATACAAAAAATAATATATTCTTGTCACTGATGACTTTGACATTCATAAAATAGGTTAGGTTAGGTTAGGTTAGGTTAGGTTAGGCATTCATAAAATGGGTTATACTGTTATACCAGACTTAAACTAGGGTGCGGGTCGGTATAATCCTGGAATAAATTCTTATATCAAGTATAACCTATATCTATGTTATTCCGTTTTTATTGGTAGTGATTTTGCTTATACCTGATTTATTCTGCGTATAAGTTTTATACTTGGTTTATTAGTTACGCTGTAAATGTTTAGGCCACTGTTTTGTGCCGCTCTTTCAATCGCTTTAGATGCTTCTATTATCGCTCTTTCGCTTCTAGCTATGATATCAACATCATCTGCAAATGTCAATATTTGTACATTTTTGTTATTATTGTTTCTCTGGTGTCGACTTTTGACTCTCTAATTATTTTCTCAAATGTGATGTTAAATAGAATACAGTAGTAGGCTTTTCTCACATGGATTGTATCTGTTAGTGCGTTTTGAATCCGAATTTTGCTGTAATTTAAGTATTTCTTTTACTATATCAATGAGTTGAGTTGGAACATTAAATCCTTTCAGTGCATGGATCAGAAATTCTCGATGGATGCTATCATAGGCATCCTCAAAATTAATGAAAAGGTGATGTGTGTCTATATTAAATTTAATAGTCTTTTCCAAGATTTGCCTCAGGACCAAGATCTGATCTATTGTGGACTTCTGCCTGCAGAAACCACACTAATATCTCCTAACTATTTGTTCCGCATATGGTCTCAATCGGTCATACACAATATTTGACAGTATTTTATATGCCACAGTTAGTAGCGTTATTGCCCGGTAGTTTTTACATTGAAGCTGATCTCCCTTTTTGTGTAGTGGGATAATAACTTCGGTAGTCCAATCTTCTGGCAGTTGTTTATTATTCCATATGTTCACTATTAGTTCGTATATCGCATTCAATAGGTAGTTTTCGCCTTCCTTTATTAATTCTGCGCTAATGTTGTCTAATAGAGGTGACTTGTTGTTTTTCAGTCTGGTAACTGCTTTTTGCATTTCAGGTACTGAAGGGGGGTTGTTTCTCTGGTATCCGTTTGATATAGTATAATTCCATCATATAGTGGAGATACTCGTTTTTTTTCAAACTTTTTTTTGATGAATTCTGTCTATCTTTATAGTATTTCACTCTGTTGAGTTACTACATCTTCTTCTTTGTCTCTGCACATCATTGCACTTGGTTTAAATTCTTTTCTACTTTTGATTAGTTTTGGTAGAATTTTCTGGTTTCTGATGCTTTATTTTGTTCTTCCATTTTCTGCGTGTTCTCTTTTCTTTCTGCGATGCATTTTCTTCTCTTCCCTCCTTAGCATTATATTCCTCCTCTGCCTTTTGTGTTCTATGTCGTTGTTTTTGTCGTTGATATGCATTATTTTTCCTCTTTGTTATGTTACGACACTCTTCATCGAACCACTGTCCTTCAGTTGATTTAAGCTTTTTCTGTAGACAAAAAAACCCTGTTCTTTGGCCGCGTCTTGTATAAAGTTTTTATACGCTTACTTTTATATATTCTGTGTATTTTGTCTTTTTGCTGTTGTCTGCTAAGTTTTTTATTTCATATTTTTCAATTTTGGATCCCTTTTCTTTTTTAATGTTTGAGATTCTGGCACTTATTCTACTTCCTACTAGGAAGTGATCCGAGTCTGCAGTTGCCCCTCGTCTGCTGCATACGTTTATTACGTCTGAGTGATGTATAGAGTCAATAATAACATGATCAATCATGTTTACTGTATCGCCGTCTGGAGATCTTCACGTTCCCTTATAAATATTTTTTCGCTGAAAGCATGTGACGACAATGACCATGTTAAGGGAAGTTGCTAGATGTATTAGTCTGATGACATTGTCATTGGATACCTCATGAAAGCTGTGCTTACCTATAGTTGGTAAGTATTGTTGTTTTTTACCTATTTTTGCGTTGAGATCACCATAAATAATTTTGATGTTATCCTTTGGACAGCGATGGTATGCAGCTTCTAGTTCTTCATAGAATTTTTATTTGACATCGTCTTTCTTTTCCTCTGTTGGGGGAATGATCATTTAAGATGCTATAATTAAAAAACTCTCCCCTTAGTTCCCCTAGATTAACGCAAGTACTGATCATAAAGAAATAATAAAGGATGTATACCAGAAAGCAATACTTATAAGTAGACTAATACAGAAACACATAAATTACCAATTTAAAGAAAAATCAGTATCAAGAAGCTCAATGAGATGAAAAAGAGAAATATATATATAAATAATAGGAAATATAAATACATGTGCGTTATTGAGCATTCAGTTTTAAATCCAAACTTCTGACAGTCAGGGAATTTCGCTAAAAAATCTAAACATTGAACACATATAAAAGCTCGCAAAGAAGAGTGACAAAAAAATAGTACAAATAACGATAACAAGAAGGGCAAGACGTAATTATTCTAATTATTCTCATTTCTTCTTATTATTATTGTGTTTATACAGAGGTATTACTACCCCCCATACGGTCAAGAAAACTAATGCTTATAACCATTGGAAACCTTGTAATAGGAATAGTCATAGCATTATTTATCTTAAACAAGCATTAGAGTTTCACTTCTTAACCTTAGCGCAGCATGTATGCTAACTCTAATTTTTGTACCGTATGTCGTATTGCAGTATACGCTACTAATTTATTTATGTGCTATTTAGTCAAAACTATCACAAAGTGAAATACTATAATTATTGTACATATGATTTACCCGTCATAAATTGTTGAAATAATTTAGCCTAAACTATATAAAATTTACTACAACCACCCAGCCGATGGTCCGATATGTCCACTTAAAGGTATGATTCCAGCCAACTTTGGACTAATATGATTATGAGTTCCGGAAGGTCTGTTGTACTCTTCGTCCGGAGTTTGTGAAGACCCTGTAGGATTGCTGGAGGAAGAATTAAAAATCAACGGTTCTCGTGAGGTACCGCTAGGTGGGATAGAAGGACCCACTGTGGTCACGCTTTCCTCAGTAGTTGATGGGGTTAAGGTGGACGGTACCGTGGTTGGGATCTCCATGGAGTCTTGCTGAGATTGGGTCTCTTCGTGACGCGCCGATTGTACGCCATCTGGAACTCTTGTAGGGACGCTGGAGGCACGTTTCAAGACCTGTTGGAACTAAGAAGATAAAAGTATTACTACATTACATCACGCTATTTATCGCACAAGTAATATTTGTTCGCTGCAATTTATTTGTAATGTTATAGGGCGGCCTGATCCAAATTGTTGGGGACACGTCATGCAAAAAATGAATCCAGCGGATGTTTTATCCAGAGGAATAAAACCAGAAAAATTCAAAGATTTATATCCAGAAGAGGTTTACCACGGGATATATATTCCCGATAATGGTGGTATCTTAATAGGGGCTAACAACCACCTTCAGGATTTATTTGCATTTATACAAGATAAGGCGAATCAATGTACTTTCGCTAAATACTTTTTGGGGTTTTCTATTAACTGGCGTTATATACCAAGCTTTTCTTCACATTTCGGTGGTTTGTGGGAGACAACTCTAAAATCAGCAAAGTATTACTTATTTAAAAAGGTTTTTTGGAGAAATAGTCTAACATACGATAAATTAAATACGATATTTCCACAGACAAAGGCTGCTTAAATTCCTGTCCTTTTACCACTATTTCGGAGGATCCCACCGATTTCAATGTTTTAACTTCTGGGCATTTTTGGACTAGCTATCTATTGGTGGTTTTACCACAAAGGTGGAGATTTGAATCCAGGCCATATTCAAACGTATTATTCAGTATCACAGATGGTGCATTAGTTTTGATCATTTGAAGTCAATGGTCCAAAGGGTATTTGGCTAATTTGCAAGAAAGAAATAAATTAATAAATGGCTTTCTTTAGGTGACCAGATTGAACTCGGACAAATTGTAACTTTGGAGGAAAACAGTGTATTGCCTTGAAATAGGCTTTAGTAAAGGTAATGAATGTGCATCCTCGAAAAAACGCTATTATTCGGTTAGTAACTCTCAAAACGAGTAGTGGACACTTTATAAAACGTTCGGTTGCAAAAATTTGTGTGTTACCTTTAAATAAGTAGCTACAGTTAACTTTATTATAGAACGTTTCTTTTGTTATGATATATTATCTGTTTACTTTTTTACATTATTATATGGCATAGTATAAGAACGAACCAGTGTTCTCGTAGACACTTTGTCTCAGGACCAGCAACTTCATGTGTTGTCATACGTCGCCATGTTACCAAATCTACTGGTAACTTTAACATCTTAATATATAATACCGTATAATGTAAACTAAATTTAAACATATAACTTTTAAACGGGTTTTTACTCATATATTTAGTGACTCAATACATGTACACTTAGACACTGATGATGAAACATGGATTCCGAAAACGCTTTGTGATATTGCCGATGGGTTTTTAAATTATATACCTTTTTAACTGCCACCCGCAATAAACTTCTTCGAAAATTTACAATTTATTATTCACAAATGTCAGTGTAGGGGGTTGACCATTGGCACCTAATATTAAGAAGGTCCTGATGGACAAGATGTGGAGAGTGCCTTAAACATAAAAAACTTTATCCAAAGACAAAATGCAAATGAAGAAGCATACAACTGTTTCACATCTCAAAAAAATATAGAATACTGGACAATTTAAAGCAGTCAAAAATGAGAGACTTCTTCGAATTGCAGAAGCAATAGTTTATGTTAACCTTGAAAATACGCTTTATACAGATTTACAGAATACATATTTTTGCTTTAAACGTACATCATTGACAACAAAAGTAAACAATCCTTTTTTGATTTAATGTATTTTATTTACAATAAAAGTAAACAACCTTTTTTCAAAAACGCCATTCAAACAAACAATATTTAGCATTTTATATTGCTACGAATGGCTTCACTATAGGCAGTTAATGTTTTAGAAAACTATATATTCATATATATGCACAGGATTATTGTTGTCTGGTATAACGAGATCGGCTCATAACGAGTTAAGTAGTATGTTATTTCAGTTCTCGTTATAGAGGGAGTATACTATAATATCTCTTATTAAAACTCGTATTGGCGCCAATTTATCCAAACTAATCTATCATGCCTTATATTGATATCATCAATTCGCACATACCTTGACAAATTTCTCTCTCTATACCTATATATAACTATAACTTCTTAACTTTTTATAGTTTCACCGTGTATAATTGAAACCGAGTATCACCGAGCCGCAAGCCCTTATCTCTTGCTGTACTGCTACACCATAGGCCGATCAGACACCAGCATATTCTAGTCTAAGCCGCAGATTCATCCAGAATTTTAAACTGTTGCATTAGCCTTTTTATTTTCTGTAAACCGAGCTGGGAATCGAACCCACATTCACTGAACCACTCGCAGTGGTTCGAAAGCGAATGAGAACCAGCCGCCCAGCCCGCTTGGCTATCTTATTGTGAAATAATATATGTCCAAATTGAACTTCCTAAGTGTTACTTATTTTAATAATGGCCTAGATTAAATTGTGTTTGTAAGCTTATAGTTCAAAATTTGTTAGTATGATAGAAGCATTAACTTCTGTGCTGAGGTATACATTATTTGAGGAATTATAAATAGGAGATTTAAGCTCATTTGTAACAAGGATGCCCACCTTCGTCCTTATCTGTCCACCTTTTTCTTTTACCATTTTCAGTGTATGATTTTTACTTTCATATAGCGTTAGGTTTCTTATCGCAGCCATGGTAGTTTGTTATTCTAATAATTAACTTAGGCAATAAATCACCTACCTTCTTCTAGATGGGTAGATACCTGTTATCGAATCTCACTGTAGGCCTATGTACTGTTTTGGTAAAATTATCAATTATCTATCATTCATTAGTCTTTTTATCAACAGTTCTCCGCACTGCAAATACTCGCCGCTTCTACCGCTTGGAGCTTGTAATACTGTAGCATTTTCAATTTCATTGATTCTTTGAAGTATATTGAAGTCCCCTCGTATACGAAATATTAAAATCACCTTATATATTTTTGATAGATCTAAAAATATTTCGTACGTATTTAAACCCAAATATCTTTTCATTTCTTTCTTAGGTCGGCCAAGTTGAAATAAACCATTTTAGAGTTGTTTATTTATTTTAACTTCCTCGGCAAATTCTTGTTTTATTAAAAGCCGCAATTTTATTGCGTCGCAAAAGGATATGTACGTCGTTTCGTGGTGTCTTGTTATGTCAGCGTTTGTATGTATGCGTTCAATTTTAATAGAATTTCTTCACTCTCGTTGGAGCAGCTTTCAACAGCGGTTCAGCGTTATGTCCAAATTCACGTCGAATTTGTAAAGTGTTCTGTTTTCGTCTTTTATTATGAAGAATATAATGTAGCAGTTTGTTATTGGTTTTGTGGCAGGAAATGCTTTAATTATTAATGTTTTAAGTGAGGATTGGAGGACATCCTCGTTTTGTTTTTCTTTTGTTCCTGCTTTTGGCAGTTTGGAGATGGAGGTTTTCGTGATGCAGAGAGAGTGGAGCCCCCAGTTCCAGGTTCCAGTTATGGTTTCAGAAACTTAAGTGTGATCATGTGAATTAAGGTAACATTTTGTTCAAATTTTAAACTAAAGACAGACATTTTTTTTTATAAAATAATAATTGCTTTCGTTGACATTTAAAATTGTAAATTTTAGGTTTTGAGCAAAGCTGTCAATTTGTGTTTAGTTTTTTTTTGAAATTTAATGTTAATTTATGACAGCTCGTTTTAGTATTTTTGATGTTGATTTGTTTTGTTTTTTTTAAAAGGTTAACCTCCATGCAATTTTGTAAGTTTTGTAGCAATGGAGTTTGTTAATGGATGTCACATGTAAGTTTTTGAATTTTGTATTTCTCCATGTAACTGTTCGTGGTGACAAATAAATAAAGGTTAAATTTTGTTGTCTTAACTTTTTATTTATTTTTTTGAGCTAACCCTTTTTGAGTTTATTTGAAAAAGATATGTTTTTTATGTTTTGATTTTGTTTTCTAATTATTTCCCTAGTTACAACTAGTGGTTGTAATAGGCATAATTAGGCACCTTAAGTGGCGCCCTATATTAAATTCCTTGAGGTGTTTCTTGTTTATTTTTATTGTGTTTGTTCCAAGAGATTAATGACCCCTTTATTTCATTTTTTGTAGTTGCCCCATTCCAATGCCCTTATCTTTTACTTATCCACGACCCCAGCTCTCCTACGAAACCCTGAGTGCCGTTCGCATCAGTAGCGATTATTTTGCTTGCCCTATCTCCACCCCCAATAGTTTTTCCCCCAATTTTCTATCTCCCGTATTAATGCCCCATATGGTAGGCAAAATATTTTCGTTACAAAAATGTGGCGACGAGGATGGAATGGGCGCCATTTTTTGTAACGATAATATTTTGCCTACCACATGGGGTATTAATACGGGAGATAGAAAATTGGGGAGGAAAATTATTGGGGGTGGAGATAGGGCAAGCAAAATAATCGCTACTGATGCGAACGGCACTCAGGGTTTCGTAGGAGAGCTGGGGTGGTGGATAAGTAAAAGATAAGGGCATTGGAATGGGGGAACTACAGAAAAATGAAATAAAGGGCTCTTGGGATAAACAAAATAAAAATAAACAAGAAACACCTCAAGGAATTTAATATAGGGCGCCATTTGAGGTGCCTAATTATGCCTATTACAACCACTAGTTGTAACTAGGGAAATAATTAGAAAATAAAATCAAAACATAAAAAAAACATATCTTTTTCAAATAAACTCAATAAAGGGTTAGCTCAAAAAAAAAAAATAAAATGTTAAGACAACAAAATTTAACATTTATTTATGTGTCACTACAAACAGTTACATGGAGAAATACAGATAAATACATTCAAAAACTTACATGTGTCATCCATTAACAAACTCCATTGCTACAAAACTTACACAATTGCATGGAGGTTAACCTTTTTAAACAAAAAAAAAACAAAACAAATCAACATCAAAAATACTAAAACGAGCTGTCATAAATTAACATTAAATTTCAAAAAAAAAACTAAACACAAACTGACAGCTTTATTCAAAACCTAAAATTTACAATTTTGAATGTCAACGAAAGCAATTATTATTTTATAAAAAAAAAATGTTTGTCTTCAGTATAAAATTTGAACAAAATGTTACCTTAATTCACATGATCACACTTAAGTTTCTGAAACCATAACTGGAACCTGGAACTGAGGGCTCCACTCTCTCTGCATCACGAAAACCTCCATCTCCAAACTGCCAAAAGCCTTGGATAAAAGCAGGAACAAAAAAAAACGAGGATGTCCTCCAATCCTCACTCAAAACATTAATAATTGAAGCATTTACTGCCACAAAACCAATAACAAACTGCTACATATTCTTCATAACAAAAGACGAAAACAGAATACTTTACAAATTCGACGTGAATTTGGTCATAACGCTGAACCGCTCTTGAAAGCTGCTACAACGAGAGTGACGAAATTATCTATTAAAATTGATCGCATAACTTGAACATAAACAAACAACGGAAATAAAAACGTATATATCTTTTTGCGACGCATAAACTTGAAAAGAATTTGCCGAGGAAGTTAAAATAAATAAACAACTCTAAAATGGTTTATTTCAACTTGGCCGACCTAAGAAATAAATGAAAAGATATTTGGGTTTAAATACGTATGAAATATTTTTAGATCTATCAAAAATATATAAGGTGATTTTAATATTTGGCATACGAGGGGACTTCAATATACTTCAAAGAATCAATGAAATTGAAAATGCTACAATACTGATTAAACTTATAAAAACTGAACTTGTTTGTAAATTGTTTACTAGCAATTAATTTCAAATTTTTAATATGTCGTTACTACCGCAGAATAATTAACATCTTCTAAGATACAGCACTTTGCTGTATCTTTGTTTGCAGGTTGATAGCGAATTTCCTTCAATATTCAAGCAAAACACTATTTATTTAATTTAAAACCATGCACATGCTAATGTTTAATAGGGTGATCCTTATATGGTAAATTTGATTTCTTTTTCTTACTTACCTTCTTCGGTGGCATTTTTCGATGGTGGTGGCTATGTTCAGTTGAAGTGGTTGGAGGCACTATTGGACTCGAATTTCTCGAAGCCGAGAATTTCTTTCTCTTCTTCTTTAGTAACGCTAAACCTTGGGCGATCCCGTGTAACTCTTTGTCAGGCCGATCCGGAACGTCCAAACTTGGATTCGAATCCGAAAAACTAGCGGACCTATAGAAAAAAATTGCATTAAGTGTATTGTATTTGAGAAATCAGAAATGAGTTGAATTTATTTGTAATGTACTGAAAGCAGGCAAGTAAGGTAATTTAAAAATATAGATAATTGTTACTTGTAATAAAGATAGACAAATTAAAATACCGCATCGTGCTATTCTACAGGGAACTAAAAAAGTTACTCATGACACCGATATTTACTATAAATATAAATTACTATAATTATTAAGAGATATTTAAATACAAAAGTTAAAAATTAAGAGGTAGAGAAAGTTCTTGGTAAGTATGGGCTATACCAGAATATACCATTACAAAATATTGGCCATGGAAGCCTACTCTTCTCTTTACTTTAGTAATTATATAATTCTAAAAATTATTATCTTGCTTCCAGCTTGTGCTACAAATAAATTACTGCTTCATCTCCACAACAATGCTGAGTGTGTCAAAGGTACAAATGAGAGTATAATGAAAAAAGGAACTACAGGCACAAAATCACAAAGGTTTATAAGTCTGATGCAAGCCACAAATGTTACTGATGATGTATGATCCAATACCTCGAAACGTTTCACGCCACCTCAGAGGTAATGCTTGCAAAAAACATTCTCTATAGTAAGAGTGAATAATATACAGTGTGTTTGATGTTGTTGCTATGGGTCATAAAGCTAACAAGTTTTTAATTTTTATTTCCGTGAAAAAAGTGATAATTTTTATTGGGGTTTTATTATGAGGTAAAATTTTTGATGGTTTAAAAATTGGATATAAATGTGGGTAAACAATTTTTTTTTCAAGTTTATAGTGTAATTTTTATTGGTTTTTATCACAAATATACATAGTGAGGTACCAAAGTAATGGATACATTCATTTTATACAATATTATGAATACAAATGGAAAATCCTGAAACAGCTCAATTTTCATATATGAAAATACACTTTCCCAATTACAGTATCCAAATGTATCTTGAACTCTCTAGGGGTAGTAGTTCTTCTTCTTCTAGTTCCATGACCGTTATCGATCGTTGGATATCATGTTGGCTACCATATTCGCTATCGTGACTTTATTGACAGCAGCTCTAAATAACGATGTAGTTGATTTTCCATACCATTGCCTTAGATTTTTCAGCCATGATGTTCTTCTTCTACCAGGACCACGATTACCTTGGATCTTTCCCTGAATGACCAGATGTAAAAGATCATATTTTTCAGGGTGTCTCATAATATGACCGAAGTATTCCAGCTTGCGTTTCTTTATTATATTGACCAGTTGTGTTGTTTGGTTCAGCCGTCTAAGGACCTCCTCATTTCTAACTCTGTCGACCCAGCTTATTTTCAGTAGTCGTCTGTATACCCACATCTCAAAGGCTGTCAAGCGTTTAAGCATAGCCTCAGTTAGGGTCCACGCTTCTACTCCATACAGCAGGACAGGAAAGATGTAGCAAGATATCATACGAACTCTAAGGTCAATGCTAAGATCGTGACTGCAAAGTACGTTTCTCATTTTTACAAAGGCAGCTCGGGCTTGTTCTATTCGGCTTTTAATTTCTGTGGTTGGATCCCAGCTCTCATTGATATTACTGCCGAGATACACGAGTTTCTCTACTCTGTCCAGTGTGGCATCTCCGACTTTTATATCGTCATCATGTATATAATTTTGTTTGCTAACTATCATATATTTAGTTTTCTTAACGTTGAGTTTTAATCCATACTGATCACAAGTCTGTTTTATTTTGTTCATTAGATTTTGAAGGTCTTCTCCGCAATTGGCAAGGACTAAGGTATCGTCGGCATATCTAATATTGTTGACGGTTACTCCATTCACAATAATACCTTCGGTTGTCTCCATTAAGGCTTCCTTAAATATTTCCTCCGAATATAAGTTAAAAAGTAAAGGCGACAATATACAGCCTTGTCTCACTCCTCTTTTTATATTTATTTCATCCGACAGTTCTTGTTCAACCTTTATTCTTGCCACTTGATGCCAGTATAGATTTGTAATTATTCGTAGATCTTTATCGTCCAATCCAGCTGTTTCCAATATTTCTAGCATTTTGTTATGTCGGACTTTGTCAAAAGCTTTTTCAAAATCAATTGCACAAATATACATATTTTGATTTATATCTCTGCATCTCTGTACTAGCACCTGTATACTAAACAAGGCTTCTCTTGTACCCAAGCCACTCCTAAACCCAAATTGAGTATTGCTAATTCTGTCCTCTAACAGCGTGTAAATTCTGCTGTGTATTACTCGCAGAAAGATTTTCAAAACGTAACTCATCAGACTTATAGTCCGATAATCACTGCATTTCTTTGGACGATGTTTCTTAGGTATTGTGACAAATGTCGACTTTAACCAATCAGTTGGTAATATCCCAGTGTCATAAATTCTGTTAAAGAGATTACACAGAGCTTTAATTTCATTTTCTCCCAAAAACTTTAGTATTTCAGCACTTACTTCATCGGGGCCAAGTGCTTTTCCATTTTTTTGCCGTTTGTATTGAACGTCTTACCTCACTTTCTGTTATAGATGGACCTGATATAGCAATCGGTGTATAGTGTTCTACTCTCCCATCTTCAAATAATTCAGAAATGTAGTTTTCCCATTCTTTTAACTTTTCATTGATGTCTAATATTCTGTGTCCGTTTCTGTCTTCTAAACTTTGGGATACTTGTTTCCATTTGTTTCCAGCGACCTCTTTCAATTTCTTGTGCAGATGAAATGTATCGTGTTTCTTTTCATATTGTTGAATTTCATACATTCTTTACTATGAAATTGTGTTTTCGCGTGTCTTATCTTCTGCCTGATTATTGCGTGGATCCTCTTGTATTCGTTTTTATTTTTATTTCTGACTTCTCTTCTTTGATCCATAAGTCTCAGTATTTCTTCTGTCATCCACCCTTGTTTTTTTCTTGCTTTTAGCGCACTCAATTGCGCACTCTTGCTTTTAGCGGGTAGTAGTTAGCACTGAAAAATTTTTAAATAAAAAGGGGTAACGTGTGATACAGCATTTAAAAGGGTTTTCAATGCCCTATTCAGCAATGTAAATATTTTTTTTTCCATGCAGAGATAGTCAAGGAATAGTACATTGTTTACCGGGTAGGAAAAGCTTAACATTCCTGGACGACTGTGAAGATTGCTAAGTCGAGGCGCAAGCCGAGACTTAGCAACACAGAGTCCAGGAATGTGGCTTTTCCTACGAGGTAAACATACTTATTTTCCGCAAATCGTTTAAAATTCGACAGATATTGATTGATTTAAAAAAAACGCCATAATTTTATTCCCAAATAAATGGTGCTTTGAAATTCCTAATAAAATTACTTGGGTTACTATGGAAACGTATTGAGGTTGAATTGTCATTTATGTAGAACACTAACAACTGTACGGAAATATCATTTCCTTACAGTAAGGAAGTCCTGACTTTTTCTTCAAGAAATTTTGACAGGAATGTCAAAATTTCCTGGCGACTTGCGGAAAAGTTATTTTACTTTATTTCATCAAAAAGCCATCGAGTAGAATATCTGTCACGTTTGACTCGTATATCAGTTATTTTGTTGTCAAAACAGTAACATGGGATCTTTTAGTTTATTTTGTCTAGACATATGCTCACAATTTAGTCTAAATCATATGCTCAAAATGATTTCCGTTCATCTTTTCACAGAAACATAGACGGTGTTGAAAATCGTCAATAATATTTTGCAACATCCCTGCGATAATTTTATTAATATCTTGCCTTATGTGGTGCTTTAAATCATCAATATAGGTTGGTTTTTTCATGTAGATTTTTGTTTTGAAATAGCTTTGTAAGAAATAATCCAATAGAGCCAGATCGGAAGAACGCGATGGCCATTCAATTTCGCCACATCTACCGATCCATCGAAAGTTTGATCAAGAAATGATCGTACTCCTGCTGCATAATGCGGTGGAGCTCCATCTTGTTGAAACCATATGTTTCTATTAATTTCTGAGGGGTTAACAGTATCTGGGAAGCGTTGTTGTAAATTAATTTTGTAGAAAGTTCAAATAACACAGCCCAGTTACTGTACACTCAAAGAAGTATGGTCCAACTATTCTGTTATTAAGTATGAGAGCTCAAACGTTTACTTTCCCAGGACACTGAGTGTGATCTTCCCTCATCCAGTGCGGATTTTGCGTACTCCAATATCGACAATTTTGTTTGTTGACTGTTCCATGTAGGGTAAATGCTGCCTCATCTGAAAAAAGAATATTTTTGGGAAACATCGGATTTCGTTGGCGCCTATTCGTAATTACTTCATACAATTGTAATCTATGATCTGGATCATCTTGATGTAGTTCCTGCAGTAGTGAAATTTTATACGAATGGTATTTCAAAATTCTCAATACAAAAGTTTTACTTATCTCATTATCACCAGCCAATTCTCTTGTTGGTTTATGTGGATTTTCCTCAACAGTTAACACATGTTACATCCAATTTCTTTGGATCATTCAATTTTGATCTGCTAGGTTTGGTAAGATATTTGACAGTTCCAGTAGACTGGGAAATGTGAAGGTTAGCATAATTCTCATTAAATAATCTGCGTACCTCAGAATGCGTTCTTGTTTTATCATTCACTCCAATCAATAATAATATTTCAATTCTCTGAAATTCAATTAAGCTCATTTTAAAATAATTTAAAAATTTCTACTAAAACTATTTTCACTTCTGGTGATATTCCATTTCACTTGAGATTAATTTTTAACCATGATGATATTGAAATTCTTAGAAGGCATAAAAAAGATATTTAACGGTACTTCTAGGGGTAAGAGACCTGCGCTACATACCTACATAATTTGTATATTATCAAACAGTTCAGAACAAGCTATTACCAAATTCGGTCGCAAAATCTCGTAAGCTAACCTCGCTAGCTCGCAAATACTCACTTCGTTTATTAATATATTATATATATATATATATATATATATATACTGTCTACTCCATGTGTCCATATGATGAAAGTATCGTCCACATATCTAAGCCATAGTT